CACGGGCGGGGGTGCGGCTCAGCGGCCTCTCGCGAAGCGGCGGGGCCTCGCTGAGCCCCTGCGGCCTTCTGGGCGTCGGTCGCACTGGGCCCCGGTCCCCAGGCGGTCTCTCCACCCCAGCCCCCCAGGCTGCCCCCCTGCTCCTAAGAGCAACTCCTCGGCAGCTGCTTCTCTCCAGCGGGTCCCGGCCCCTACCCCCGAGGTGAAGGCCGCGCGCGATCTCCGCACTCGCGCCTCCTGCCAGGCCACACGCGCACGGGTAGGACGGAGGCGCGAGTGCGGGCTGGACCCGGCCGCTCCTCGGGGCGGGGGCGCCTCATCCTGCTCCCCCCACACTGACGAGACGGGGATCCCAGCGGCGGGGCCGCTTGCGGGCAGGAAGAAGAGTCCCACACCTGGCCGGGCTCAGCCCAGGCTGCCTGTACGGCCCGGCTGGAGCCAAGAGCCCCACCAGGTGCCGGCTTGGCTGTGGGCTGTGCACGGGGCCCAGGGGTCTCATGCACCCAGGAGCCTCAGGGATTGTGGCAGGGCAGGGTGTGGTGAGAGCCGGGTCAGCCGATGAGGCTCACAGCCCAGGGGAGAACCTGGTACAGTTTCAAGGTCTAACTTTACAGCTGATTGGAGCTGTTTATGGCATGACAGGTGCTTTGCATGTGTAGCTAGCTGGTCATAAGGCAATAGTGCAATGAATCAGTTAATTTTGCCATACCTGTAACATGTACAGGGGGCCTCTAACACAGACTGTTCTGAAATTAAACCAGAATACAATCATGCTATATTCATAAAGTGCAGAAAATAAGGAAGCAGAAGAAGCCATGCCCTCAAACCAGTTATTTGGACTGAAGGAGTTTCAGCGAGCGGTTTTCGGCTATAGTGGGGGTGACTTTGCCTGGCATTGGCAATGCATAGCGGGTACACAAAGGTGCACGTACACCCCCTGCAGGCAGTCACCGCTTGCCCCCCTGCCCCCCCTTGCCGCTGACACCACTGCCGCTGCCTGCGGGAGCACCTCACTCACCGCCACCACACCCCCACTGTCAACACCACCGCCACCTGCGGGCAGCCGCTCTGCATCCCCAGCCTCCAGGGTCACACAGCATTCATGTTGCCTGGCATGGCCTGATGTCAGGGGAGGGAAATTATTCCAACCAGCCCTGGGCCTGTCTGTCCTGCACCCACTGCCAGAGTCACCAGATGGTGCGGGTGGGCAGAAGGGCAGGGTCTCCATGGAGATCAACCCAGCACCCATGGGCAAGGCCTGCCTTGCTGAGCAGATGAGATGGGGCTGGAAATGGGATCCAGGAGCAGGACTGGCAAATGGGGCTAGGATCACAGGGTGGTGATAGCGCAAGGCTGGGGCCCTTGACAGAGCTGCAATCAGCTCCTTGCACATTCCTGCAAGGGCACTGGTTCTGCGGGCAGGGACATAGGAGGAGTGGATTGCGGCTCTGTCTCAGGCCCCAGCCCCACACTATCACAGCCCTGCAATCCCAGCCCCAGCCCTGCCCTCACCCATCTGTCCCACTCCCAGACACTCCTCCCCACCCTCCTGCGCCCCCTCCCCATCCACCCAGCCAAGGACACCTTGCCTGCAGGGTCCCCAGGCCAGTGGTGGGTGCAGGGAGGACTGGCAGCAGCACACAGCCAGAGTGAGCCACTGCTGGGGAGGCTGCCAGGAAGCCAAATCCCGCCATCATGCCATACATGCCATGGCCTGGGCTACCCCCCACGCTTGGACCAGGCAGTGCCAAGGGATGTGCTACAGGACAGATCGAATCCTTGGTAGGCTGGATCCAGCCCCCAGGCCGTATTTTTCCCACCCCGATTTAAAAATTGTAATGTGCATAACCTATGTAACCCCTGTCCCTGGGTTGCCAAGTGTTAGGCAGAGAGGTGTGGGGCCACTCCAAGCCCAGGAAAACCAGACCCAGGAAGCTGGGTTGAACTACATTCCCCAGGTTGGTTAGAGGGGAAGTAGGAAAGAGGGGCTGCAAGGCGGGAGCCAGTTTGCCCAGAGCTATGTGAAAGGAGCAGGGGAGAGGTCGTGTTCCTTGATGCTCCACGCACCTTTGAGAGCCTGGTTTGAATGCAGCTTCTCTACTGAGTGGACCCCAGCAGGGAGAGAGACTGACTGCTGGGACAGCCTGGCCTGAGTGAGGTGTGCTTAAAAGGCTGCAGAAGGTAGTGCAGTCAATGTGATTGTGGAGCAGTGAAAGTCCTTGTGTCATCTGGGATGGCTGGGACTGTGCACATGGTGAAGAGTCTCACCTCAAGGATCCTTGTGAGACTTGGAGTGGGAGTTTTAAGTTGTATTGTTGAAAGGGGTAAGTTTGTTATCAGGCTTCCTTGCTGTGTTTCCTGAGTTATGTTACAGATTGCAGTTCTGATGCCAGTGGGTATAAATTAATCCAACTTGTTTGTACCCTTTTGTTAAACTGAGGTACTCCTTGGAGGAAACGGAGGCACCATAACCACACACCTGCACTCCCTAGTGAGAGGGGTTACGCAAGGGGCGGGCATAATATGGCCTGCAGGCTGGGTTCGGCCCACCAGGCAATTCTGTCCACCCTGCAGGGCCCCATCATAAGCCCTGGCCCTTACTGCCCTCTGCGAGCCAGTGCCTCCATGCAAGACATGCCACTCTGTTTGCCAAGCAACCACTCCCCACCCCAGCCCACTCCCCACATGTGGCCAGGGACTTGGGCAGGAGCGCTGTTGGGCTGGGTGGGGCTGACCCCGCAAGCTGTCGCCACCTGCAGCCAGCAACTGGGGTGGGAACGTCGGGAGCTGCACACTATGGAGCCAGGCAGGCCTGGCCCCGCTCAGTGCCACCACATGCAACTTCAGGGACTGGCACACTCCAGGGACTCTGAGGACCCGCCACCCTCCACACACACACCAACACTCTACCTCCCACCATACCCCCAAACACAGCCACACCTCTCCCGCACACACTCCCACCCCCCGGCATAACCTCGGACACCCACAGCCCCCAACTCAACCACATAGCCCACACCTGTCCACACCCACCCTCCCTTACACATCTACTCCCCAACCCCACCCTGCAACATACAGTATACAAGAGTAAGACTAGGGTTACCATATGTCCAGGTTTTCCCAGACATGTCCACTTTTTGGGTCCTCTCATCTCCACCCGAGTGTTTTTTTTAAATATCAGCACATGTCCAGGATTATGCCTCTGCTTTCCCAGCACTTGCCAGGTTGCCCCAGCCAGGATCTGCTTGGCACTCGGGGGAGGGGGGGCAGGGTGATTGGAGGCAGAGTCGTCACGTGGTCTACATGCAGGCCCCAGCAGGCAGGCCCTGGCTGCAGGCAGGGGTGGGTGGGGGGCTGTTTGTGTGCGCCCGTGCGCCAGGGCAGGCAGAAGGGGGAAGGGGGTGGAGGGGTTCTTCAAGGGCAGCAGGGAGCAGCATGGGCAGCAGAGCTGGAGGGGAGATGGCTGTGGCTTGGGAGTGCAGGGCACTGGGGGGGCAAGGGGCTATGGGCTGGGAGCGCAGGGAACAGGCAGGGCCAGAGGGCTGCAGGTCAGGAGTGAGGGGTATCAGCAGGGACGGGGCTGCTGGTTGGGAGTGAGAGGCACCAGCATGGTCTGGGGGGGCAGGTTACTGAGAATCAGGAGTGAGGGGCAGCAGCAGGGCTGGGGGGCTGTGGCTTGGGAGTCAGGGGTATGGGTAGGGAACGGGCATATCACTGCCCCCCCCAATCATATACTTCCTGCCTGCACGGAAGGCCCCTGCACCAAGCAGGAAAGATAACTGGGGGTCAGGTGACCCCAGGAAGGTGACTGTCTAGTCTTCTCTTGAAGATTTCCAGCATAGGTGATTGCACCACCTCTGGAGGGAGCTTATTCCACTGTGAAGAAGTTTTTCTTAATGTTGAGCCTGAATCAGTCTTCCAGGAGTTTGTGGCCATTACTCCTGGTTTTCCCCTCAGGTGTTCTGGTGAACAGTTGCTCACCGAGCCCTTGATGTGCTCCCCTAGTGTAGCGGTAAGCTGCTACCAAGTCCCCTCTCAGGCTTCTTTCTCTCAGGCTGGAGAGTCCCAGATCCCTCAGCGTTTCCTCGTATAGCTTGCCGGGTGAGACTGATCATACAGGTGGCTCTTCTTTGGACTCTGTCAAGCTTGCCCACGTCCTTGTTGAAGTGTGGTGCCCAGAACTGGACACCATACTCCAGCTACAGTCTCACCAGCGCTGATTAGAACGAAAGAATCGCTTGGTTTTGCTGGAGATGCATTTTGAGCTATTATGCAATTTCCTCTAAATACACTACGCAAACACACTTAAATCAGGACAAAATTATTTTTTTTTAATAAAATTAAAATAAGTCATAGTAGATATTTGATTTTTTAGTTTATTGTCTGTGTTTTTGTCCCGGTTTCAAGATGGCAGCACCTTCCCTCCCAAAAGGAGTATTTCCAGGGCAAGGAGTGGGACTTCCAGTGGCAAAGGCCAGGGGTTGGGAGTGGAACTTTCAGTCCCAACATGGCTACCAGGGATGGGGCACCCATCAAGGGGTGGGGCTGTCTTGCAGCCCTCCACAGCTCTCCAAAACTCATTAAGCTGCTCTCCAGTCAAAATGATTGCCTGCCCCTGGTTACACCTATATGCTGGTGGCAGTTGTAATCACATAAGCCACAGGCAGGAAATTCTGGCTGACATTAGGTTATGCTAGTTCAGGGGTGGGCAAAATGGCAGGTCTTGCTGGCAGCCGGACTCCATTTTCCAGCAGCCCCTGCCCATGTTGGTGCGGCCGGTTTCCATGGAAACCTGAGCAGCTCCGGTGCCGTGACATCTGGGAGCCAGGGACTCCATGGAGACCACCCCAAC